GAAAAAGTTTTTAGCTACTTATAACTCTCATACCATACTGGAAAGTACAGAGGTTGGACAAAAGATTGGAAACACTTCTATACTAACACATTTTTTTTATTTTTTTTTTCTCCAAAAAATACGTAGAAAATCGTTTTATAAATTTGGAAGTGTTTAGGTTATGCGATTTATCATACACAACAATGAAATTTAAAGATTTTAGAGGTTCGAAGGACCGAAAATAAATTACAAAAGAAAAATAGTGCTTTTGAACATTCAATGCCAAAAAAATGTAACAATAGATTTGTAACTTGGGACAGTTATTTTAGTTATTTTGAGCAGTTACTGCACAAAATTTCGTAAACCTAGCTTTAATATTTATGGAGATATGGACTGTTTTATTTTAAAAATAATAATAATCTTGTCTTGTTTCTTTTTTTTTTCTTTTTTTTGCAATATCTTTAAAAACTTTAAGTTAAAATAAACAAAGTTTTTTTCTAACAATTTAAAATTATTTAAAAAATTACTGCTTTAAAATCCGAAAAAAATTCGTTTATTGTTGTTGTTTCTAACGCAAGTGACCAATATCAGCAAGCCTGCTTAGTGAAGCCAAGCGAATTTAAGGCAGAGGGTGCATTCCTTGTTTTTCAGTGGCGTCATCTATGGCCAAGAATATGACTTCCGCCACACCTCGTCACAGCCCGCTTATAGGTCGGATCCATTCATTCACAAATCGTAATTTTGATCTGAACCAGAGAACGATAAATCTCTAATTCAGTACCTCCAGAGTTGTAATTTATTATGGGAACATGGAGCGCTTTGTGACCCAACAAATTTAACTTGCGCCAGTCATCATTTACTCGAGGGGGGTCTTCGGCCGGCGGAGATCGAACTCATGACCTCTAGGACATGGGCCCAACGCCCTACCAATCTAGTTATCCCGGACTAAAATTCGTTTAAAACTGTGCAAGATATGAGTAATTAAAGTAGTTCTTTTATACTGTTCATGCGTGGGAAAAAAATTAAATTTTTTTTCCTTAATTTTGAAGTGAATCGTATTTGGCAACTAATAAAAAAGTCAAATTTCAGTATCTTATAAATTTAAAAAGTTTTAAGCAAATTACTAAGTAGTTTTCGTACTTTTAAAAGGAAAGCTCAAAATGATAAGGGTTTTTCCTCAAGTTTTATTTTCTACTATTAAGCAAGATTTATTAAAAATGGTACCGGCATTGTTGGGGATCCTCCCTCCATAAAAAGTATTTATTCTTTTAAGTATTTTCCTTCCTTATTCAATCACATTTTAGTGTACGAACGTTATTATAAGGTATATTCATTTGTTATTAAATTTTGTCTTATATTGCAAAATAATATTTGTTGAAAACCCCTTATTATTTCTAGTTTTCTTTTAATAAACACAAAAACTACTTAGAAAATTTCTTAAAACTTTTTGAATGTTTAAGATATCGGATAAATCGGATTTTTTTATTAGTTGTCAAATACGATTTACTACAAAATTATAAAAAAAAAAACTTTTTTTAATTTTTCCGCTCATGTGCAGCATGTAAGAACTACTTTAATTACTTATATATTGCACAGTTTTCATCGATTTTTTTTCAAATTTTAGAGCAAAAATTTTATAATTAAGTTTAAATTGCTCTAGAAAATATGTTTCGTTTCATTGAAAATTTTTATATTTATAGCAAAAAATCGTAAGACAAAAAAATTAGATTTTTTTTTATACAAATGTACTTATTTTCATAAATATTTAAGCTAGGCTTACAAAGAAGCTTTGTGCAATTATTGTATATAATAACCAAAAAAACTTAACAGGTTACAAACCTATTGTTATATTTTTCAGCATTGGTTATACAAAAACACTATTTCCCGTTTGTAATTTATTGTCAGTCCCTCAAATTCATTGATAATATGTCGTATTCTTGTCCATACTTTGAACTTCATTATTAGTATGAGAAATCGCATGATCTAAACACTTCTGAAGTTATAAAATGATTCTTTAAGCATTTCTTGAGAAATATGAAAAAAATTAGTATAGAATTTATTAGTATAGAAGTGTTTCCATTATTTTGTCCACCTACTGTATCAGTGCCGTAACTTCACCCTTCGGGGCCCTGGGGCTCAAATTTTTGCCGGGGCCCTTTGTAAAACTTTGTGTACTCCATCTCTAAACGTCATTTTAGCTACTTATGTATTATGTTGATTAATATATTCATGAAAATAAGTCACTTGTTCACATAGAAATGGGATTACAAAATATTGCAAGTTGTAAATTTAACACTAGAGTGTAAAATGTTGTATTTAAAAAAATTAATTTTTAATTACAAAACACAAATAAGACATCTAAAAATAATTACAAAACACATACTAAATACAGATTTTAAATGTATTTAATGGTTCTAGGTAGATAGATTTATACACTTAAGTTTGTTGATTATACATCAGTTTGCATTAAAATAAATGTCTAGAATAAAGATTTCATATTTAAAATTTTAGATTAGTTTCAGTTTTTGAAAAATATTTAAAGTAAATTGTAAAATAGATTTCATAGTAATAAATTTTTTTAAAAA